ATCATGGTAGGATTTCTTAGCAACTCATCATTGCGTAAGTCAATCTCAACGGCCAGCAATACAGCCCGCGCGCCATGTGAACAACGAATCCAAGCTGCGCTGGAGCGCCAGCTGTCGCTTCCTGTGCTAGACTTTTTGATTCGACATAGCACAGGGGAAGAACAGCAACTGAAGTTCCACCCTTTGTCCCGAACGTTCCACTGCCGTATTTTTTCCACTAGCCTCAGGCAAATACTTGCAGTACATAGTGCTTGCAAATACATGAAGTGTGGCAGTGTGCGGCCAGGTTTGTCCTGGTAGCTCGGACACGAAGTGCCTAGTTCCTTGTGGCAAGTGCTTCGCATGCGTGTTTCAAGATAAATCCTGCAGAGTACATGGACTACGGAGCAATGCTCTGTTATGTATGATAGCAATGGGCCGAGTGATCTCTTGAGTGACTCATTCACCTGCACAGCCGAACATTCATACATATATGTACATATAATACTGTATGTATTGCTTGTTGTTATTGGCCGTGTTTTCACCAGCTATCAATGACCATTAGGTGGAAGGTGGACTGCCTTTTTCGTGATTTTGGCTGGCAAGAGCTTGTGGAAAAGCAAGGAGCCGCCCACGCAGCATGGCATCCACTGTGACCAGAGGACTGGTCCTGCTCAGAAGACAAGCCGGGTCTGCTCTCCAAGGCCCCAAAGCGCTCGCAGACGGAGGGACTAACCGTTCCTAGGTTCACGTGGGACCAGGCTTCGTGGCCTTTCCTGACTAAAGTTCAGCCGTCTGCTTGTGCAGCGACGTTTCATGCGAACCAAAGGGGCCGGAGTGCAGACTAACTGGCCAGAGCCTGAGCAGCACCACTCATGCCTGTAGTGATTAGATTTTTTGGCCGAAAAGTTTTTGGAGGCAAGATCGCAGGCAGGGTGTTCCTCTGCGTCAGCTGACAGAAAAAAAACAATGCTATATACTCTTATCAGTCAACATCAGCCAGCTAAAAGTTAGGAAGTCATGCGGTGAACCAAAAGGGGAAACTTGGGGAGGCGTGGATATGGCTGGCCCGAAGTCACGTACGAAGCCGTACATTTTGCTTCGGGTCAGGCAAGTCGGAAGACCTCCAGCAGCTGACTCTCTGCAGAGAGACTTGTGCGCCCAGTGCTAGCACCTCAACTTGCGTGCCTTGCAAATGGAGGCTTGCGAGCACTTGGTGCGCACAGACTGCTTTGCCAAAACAGATTGGCAACCATGGTGATTTCCCGCATAGGAAGCCTAGCTGCCTCCACCATCTTTGAAAAGCCCTTTGCGCACACAGCAACCCAGCAGCTGGGTATGAGCCGGGAAGCAGCTGCGTCTCGCAGAACGTCTATTGATATGCGTCATTGTGCTGAAGGAGCTTCTCATGCTATGATAACGCAGATTCATGCTTCATCTGTCGCTGTGAGAAGCAGCATGCCTTGCAGGATATGCATTTTCGCGCTTTTGTCTGTCCAACTCACTGGATCCGCAGCAGGTGGTAGATGTTGACGTGTTGCCTGTTTACGATTGGTATTGCCAGAGTCGGTATTCTGTTCTGCTGTTTTTGTTGTTGCTGCTGCTGCTGCTGCTGCGGATAGAGACTTGGTGTTAGAGCGGATGCGGCTGCTGTGGCCTCCGCTCAGTCCACCCTTCATGTGAGCGAAGACATGGTAAGACACCGAGCATGGTGCTGTCCAAGCTGCTGCAAGCCCAGTACATTCAGTGGTCAGACTTTTGTTGTCGAGCACTTTTTAAGTGGCAGCAGCTCTTGGCATCAGCACGACGTAGAGTCGTAGAGTTGGCTGTGCGAGTTGGATGACGGCTTCTGATTCCAAGGTGAACCTATCGGTATGGTCTGACATAACGTAATAAATGTACATGGAATGGAGAACACAGGGAAGTGAAAAATAACATTAGTTATTTTCGAATCGCAAGCTGCAATCCCACTCCAGAAACTGCTTGACTTGCAAAAAAGCGCTACCTGCAATTTCTTCATAACCTGCCCGGTAAATCCTCGTGGGAAGGCAGCGACCGCGAAGAAGTAGCCCAATGGAAAGCAAGACGGGCAGCACCTCATGTTTGTTTGAGGCTTTGGCTTTTCTCAAGGTATTTGCTTACCTTCTCACTGTCGGCCGTGTGCAGAGTTTGGCTTCGCATCGAATGCAAGGAGATGGCTGCAGCTCCAATTTGGGTCCAAGAGCTGTCTCACGTACGTCACAATTCGCAGCATCGGTAAGTAGTTAGAGGATTTCTGCAGTTTGTCTGAGACAGATATATATATATATATGTATAGCTTTTTTTAACTTACGCCCATCAATACCACCTGAGTGGGCAACTTACACTGGTGTCAGCGCGATGCCCTAAACCAAGCTGGCCGGACTCGTTTGCCTTCTGCGTCTGTCTGCAGTTTTCGCAGCATGTGAGTGGCAGGTTTAGACATGCCAGCGTGGCAGTATGCTCTGGTGGCCGTGACCGTGGTGGGACTTTGACTCTGTCATGTTGCAACATTGATTCAGATACCAGCGATGCCTCGTTGAATTGCCCTTTTCTTTTGTGCTGTCGTTTCCAGGTGGTTTTTGCGCAGGCCAAGCCAAAGAAGTATCCCCAGCATACCTCAAAGGCGCACTGTTTCTTCGGGTGTACATGACATGTGGAGAGTGCTTTTGTGGGGAGCAATTTCTGAAGCCCGGGTGGAAGGGCAGGGTCATTAGGTCCGCTTTTTGTGCAAACCGAGCTGCAACCATGGATTGAGGCTTTCCTGTTGCAATAAGAATGGGACCCTTGATTTTTTGGAGAAAGGTAGCTTGTCATGCTCGCTTGTAAACCTTTGACATAAGCAAGCCAGGTTCACTGGAAGAAAGAAAGCGAATGCGCTAAGACTGCCTGCTCTGGGTTATCTGGCATGTTTAATTTTTGAGTTTGAGACAATGTTTCAAAGGCTGCTCCTGGCCTTGCCGGAATGCAGTCCAGCATGAAGTTGGATCCATCATATGACTCCATGACAGCATGCAAGGTTTCATCCAGACGAGAATGATGACTGCGTTAGCAAATGCGTCTCTGATGCATGCTACGCTGAAGTCGTAGACTCAGCCTGTTTGCTGTCATCGTCTGGCAACCACTGTTTCAAGCTTCGAAGACATTATGATCACCAAGACGCAAGAACTCCTGAGCTGCAGACTTGGAAGCCCACCCCCGTCTGTCCAGGAATTTGCAACGTCCTACCGGTTTGAGGTCTAACGACAACAGACAATCTTTCCAGGCCAGAAAAGTTCCACACAAGTTTCCTCTATCAAATCATTTAGATTAATTATATTCTGCTGCTACATCATGTTCTGCAGCGTCCCCTGGTCCCCAGCAGCGTCCCCTGGTCCCCAGCAGCGTCCCCTGGTCCCCAGCAGAGTGCTCTGGCAGATTCGGTTTCATGAAGTTGCCAAAGATTTGATTGCGAAGCATGGTTCAACAGGCTTTGTGTCTGGGGATGTCGGTTGGCAAGAGATTTCCTTCCAGTAATGCTACAACAAAGTAAGTGGCAATTTTCATGCATCCGGCAAGACTGCAAAGACTGACCTGAGTGTTCCCAGTCTTTAAAGTTTCTTCCACTTCACTTGTTCCAGCATGCGTGCATGAGATGCAGATGATGCAGCGCTTGGTTCACTGGGAAGTTTAGCGCTCTCCCTGCTCCTTGACTTGCACAGTGCGGCGATGAGGTCTACGCAGAAGATCCACTGGAGCCAGGCGAGGTGGATCGCGTCAGGCAAACCAGGCCCAGGGGCCCAGCCATGTTAGGCTGCGCTCTGTCGATAGGGAGCCATCCAGCGCTGAGGAATGTAAGCTGCACCAGCGTTGGTTCTTTCTGTGTGCACTGGTCTCTTCATGGCTGTTCACCTGTCAGATTCAACACGTGCGTCCGAAAAGAGCACGATGATGAGACAAAGCGGCTTGTGGAGGACGCTTCCGCAACTGTGCTGTGGTCTACATCCTTAATTGTCCTTGTCACGGCCCAGGAGAGAAAAGCCGCCAAAACCGCCCGTTGATCCACCAGTGACCGTCCTGCTCGTGGACTCACAGAAAAGTGTGAGACCCGACAAGACAAACTGAGGAGCCAAAAGCAGATTTGTTGGCACTTTGTTTTTTTGCCAACGGTTGCATTCCATCCCAACATGCTTTGTTGGATTTTCGTGCTTGCTGAAAAGCGTTAGTGCTAAGACCAGCCCAATGACGCCAAGAACATGGCCATCGACATTTGCAACGTAAGACTCTGCATCGATCCAGTAGCTAGTAAAGCACACTTCGTGCAGCACTTCTTTCATGCTGCGCAGGAAATACAAGTAGTTACTCTTTCAAGTAGCCCTCCTGTGGCCCAGCCAGCGTGGAATGGACAATCCGCAGGCCAGCAAGAGGCCAGTGAGTGAGATGTCAAGGTAGCCTGTTTTTGGCCAGGACTCACGTGCAGGGGAGGATGTGATCATCCCGAGCAGGCCAGTTACTCGACCAGCCCCACGTTGGGATCGCTTTACGCGAACAAATGCCATCCAATGCAGAGTGGGTGCTGCACCCTACAGCATCACTTGCTTTGTGCAAAAATTTGGAAGGCAGCGCACCAAAGCAGCAAATCCATCCTGCTCACCTTTGAAAAAACAAATACAGGGATTCAGAAAGTGTTGAGCGATTGAAGCCTTTGGGCAGGGTGCGTGTTCAAGATGTGAGCAGTCTGGGGCTTAGCACAGAATATTGAACAGCGCCAAGCGGTCTGTCAGTCACAACCTGAATTATTTGTGTGCTGGCTGTCTGGTAGATGAAATACCTGCAAGGGCCACCAAAGCAGGAGGGTGCACGATAATATTGGTTGCTAAACTGTGCTCTGGTAGAATCCCTACGCCTATTACCTGTGCAACTAGTACCTACATAGGTATGTCCGTAGTTCACATGACAGTCGCATTACGGATCCCGCGTCCCACTTGAAAGGAGCATGCCCTTCTTTGTCAGGTCCAGATGCAATGTACCCTCCTCTGCGGCAGCTGAATCGGGACGTAATGTGCATTCTGATAATTGTCCTAACCCTATGTGTAGAGTCAAGACAGGTGTTGGAGCATGTAAGACCGATGCAACCAAGATACCGTGAGTGCAGGAGCCTTCGGCATATCCATCAGATGGCTGGGTTTGGCTCTAAGTTGTGAGAAATCTTCTGCACACGTGTGAGATCCCACGGACCAGAACAGAACCTTGAGGCAGGTCTTTCCGGGCCAGGGCTGTAAGCCTCCCTGGTAAAGGCTGTGTCTTGCTCAAGCATGTTTACAACCTGTACTCTGAGGCCAGCATCTATGGTAGCAATGCTCCTGTCGTGAAGAGCGTGTGTCCAAGTCAATCTGAAAGATGAACTTGCATCATGTTGTGGGATGGTAGTACCAGGACCGGATCCATTACCTCCTGTGGAGACGGCCTTCTTTTTCAAAGTGCTGGCAAAAGACCAGCAGCCAGCCCCAACCCCAGGTCACGGTAAGCCGATCTTGCTTTGCAGGATTGACATTTTTCAGGTATACACTCAGCCAGATGAGAACAGCACCTGCATCGGTCATCGCTCGCATGCAGAGGCACCACCGTCAACGTGGATTCTGCTTCTGTTAAGAGCTTTCCTTCAGGTGCTGCGAGTGGTTGATTTCCGTGGCGCCTGGCTACGCCTTGCGCCGGACACTGAAGCACAGGCAGATGAGAATGCATGTTTTGGAAGTGCAAGCTTTCACTTTCTTGACAGGTTGAGGAAAGGCCGGCTGGGGCGGGAAGATTGCGATTTTAGGAAATGTCAGCTCGTTGTCAGCGAGACACCTGATGTCTCTCAAGGCCTATTAGAGTACTACTTAGTACCAGCAACATGTTACCGCTCGGTTCACACACCTTTGATATTCAAATGTTTCATGTCAAAGGTTGCATGTCAAATACAGTGGCTCCTGTTTCTGTCGTGCTTTCAAGGTGGGAGGGCTGGATGCTGGCTGAAACCGCGGAGGATACATGACATGAGAACCTGCGACCTTCGATTGCAAGGCAGTAGACATTTCTTTTGAAAGGATACCTTGCTAGACGAGATCGAAGATCCAGACGAGCATGAGAAGGACGCGCCACTTTGCCACACAACGCTTTGGTCATCTCTATTTCCCATAGTTGGGTATCCTGTAGCTTATCTTATTGGCTCTACAAGAGTCTTTGATGTGAAAAGCGTACGGTATATAGCCTATAGCCTTTCAGTCCGAGACATGATTTTGCAGCATATGCCTTCCGCTGTTACCGTGCTCCAGCTGTGCTGTGAGGAATTTACGAAGGACCTGTTCAGGCCGGAGGGAAGGTAGTTAATTTGACAGCGAGGTGTAGTGCTTCAAGACCTGATGAGGCGCATCTGGAAAATCAATGACCACGTCACAACAAGGTTGCGCGACAGGACAGGCTTTGAGATTTCTCATAATTGAAAATGGTTGTCCTTGATTCAGCCTCTGCTTTGGGTTGTGGGTGGCTCATGTCTTTCAAACCTGCAAATTCTGTGTAGGACTGAACGTGCCATGGAGTGCGCCTTGATGTACTGTACTTGCCAGTCTCAGAAGGAAGCCACATTTCTGAGGTACCTCGGCGCTGGCCGTGTCCCACCGGGGTGCGGGTCTCGGGCGTGGACCAAAAGCGCAAGTACAAGCAGCCTTGTTTACCGGACATCTCAAGGGTTTCAGAGCACTGCAGATCTGCCGCGGGCAGGTTGCGGAGGCCCAGGTAGGGACATACTCAGGGACTACACGTTGGAGGCCTTCTGGATCCAAGGAGTCCCAAAGCGACCTAAAGTCCACACCTGCACGCCAACTCTTGAAGCATCACTTCGAGATTGTCGATGGCTTCCATGTCGGCAGGCAGAAGCACGCAAGCATCGCTTTAAGCAAAATTCACATTTGAGTAGTGCGGGATTCTTCAGGCGTTTCACCTACGGAAGCCTCACTGTGACTTCCTCCTATTTCGCAAAGCTCTGCTATTTCCTGCAGCCTCTTTGACAATTCCAAGAGCAGGCTTGAGGCACGTTCCGAGGTGTTTCCCTGCCAACGGAGCTTGAGGAGCTTTGAGGGTTGCACGCAGGAAATCCAAGCGGCGATGTCAGAGCGATGCCGCAAGGGTTGCAAACAAAGGCAGCCACGTCCAGCTCGCCAAATAAATTTACTCTCCATCATTCCGAACAGCTTGGACCTGGGCCCGCACCGTTCGCAAATCTTCCCCGGGGTTAGGTTGCACAGTGCAGCATGTTTTCATGACTTCATGCCCCCCGTGCTCTACAAATTCTGCACCTTGGACTATTTCCGCGACAGGGGGTTGTAAACACGAGCAATTAGTTTAAACTGCATTTGATTTTTGGATCCTAGTGTTGCTTTTTGCTTGAAACTTTGAGGCATTGCTGTTTTGACCTCTCATGCATGCACGCAGGTCTTGGTGCTGGTGCTCAGAGTAGAGACTTGCATGAGCTCGCATGAGTAAGGAAGAAGGCACTTCTGCCAGAAGGCACGCGCTGTGTCAATGCCTTCTGGGGTCTTGAGGCACGGCACCGGTGACCAGTTTGGAGATTGTGGAAATGGGAAAGCTCTGCACAAGGCCCGATGGATTCCACTCGCAGACGGGGAGGAGTACTGGCCGCAAGGCTGCCTGACTTTGCTGGGACCTCAGATACTCCAATGGCTAGTGGCAGTGCTCCGGCTTCAATAGCCCAGGTCTGCTGGCTACCTGAAATCCGGCTGGGAACAGCCTTCGGAGGAGGCCAGCTGTTCCCACTATGATGCTGGTGTCGGGATAATGACGCCTTGTGAGGCAAGGAGTGGGCACTGGCGTGTCTTTGCAGCACGGCCTTTCGAGGCTCATGAGCTTGTGGAGGCAGGAAGGGTTGCAGTACAGGTGCTCAGGGTAGAGCTCTATTTACGTGACTTAACTTCAGCCAGTTTTCAAGAGTCGGATGTGCAACGTGTCTGCGCTGTTGCCTGGATGCCGATGGCCGTGCCTTTCACATTGTCAAGTTTGTACACAGGTTTGTCCACTTGCAGAGGCTGCAAGCTAAGCCATGCAGTCTCAGAACCTTCTTGCAATGCAATATGCACTGTTGTGGGAGCTGAGGTTGATCTGGAAACATGCATCGTGCCTCAGCTGCAACAGACTAAATTTCCAGAATGACGTGACAGAGATGCGAAATGCTGCTCCCACAGTCAGTATCTCACGCGGGATCCTTCGATCCTTTGACCACTTTTGGGGCTGCTGTTGAAGCATGGAAGCATGGCACAGGCTAGTTTCCAGTTGCGCATGAACGTGGTGGAGACACCTGCAGACGAGGACAGCCTTGCCCTCCATTTCCCTGACAAGCACGCAGCAACTATCAGAGCCTGTGCTAAGTGGATCGTTGCGCAGGATTCTTGTTTCACGGGCAAAACAGGACGGGTGAAGTCATACGCTGTTTGGATGCATGCAAGGATGGTTTGAAACATCTATCCATGATACGTCTGTCTGAAGCATGCAGAGAAGTAGCCGAGGTGCCTTTGGGTTATGGGATGCTCTACCAGCAGTCCATTGAGCTACCAGATGCTAACGGCTTGGCTCCAGACATGCGGGGCATTGCTTCAAATGTGCATTCTGGCCGGGTGCAAGGTTCAGATCAATTGGACGCCTGTTACAAACTTCAACTGCAAATTTGTTCCGGTTGGAAAGCCTGAGACTCAGTCCATCAATTACGATCTTTGTGTGGGCCGTTTGGCACTTTGAAAGCTTTGGCCGTGAGCAAGACACGCATGAAGATGCCAATTGTTGGGATGACCAAGTCACATGTACATCTACGCTGCTCGAAAGATCCAGGCCTTTGACATTGCAGGGTAATCTATCAAGATGATATGATGCCCTTGCAAAGATGGCTGGGGTGCAGTGCAGTGCATGCCAGCGGGTCTTTGCAGACTGCCAGTCTCCTCAAAGACATCGCGCCAGGCAGACGAAGAGCTCATACTTGAGTGTGGACCCTGGCTAGTGGTTTTCCTTGCAGAAGATGTGTTTCTTCTGCAGGTACAAACGCTGCTTCCGGACGGACGAGGCATCGTTTCATAGCCAACATGAGCTGCTGTCTACCCAAATGCCGGACTGAGGGCGAATCGATCAACTTTGAAGGCTTCACTCCGTACTGGCAGCTTGACTGCAAGGTCCAATCACTAGCAGAGTCCGAAACCAAGATGTCAGGTGCAGGCAGGAGCATCCAGAAGCCTTCCGCAAGGCACAGGATGCCTTCTCCTTGTGCACTGGCAGAAGGGAGCATGAAACTTGCTGCTGTGTGTGTTCGTCAGTTTTCGCTTGCCTTAATTGTCCTAATCTCTGTGGCAAGCACAGAAGCCTTCGTTGATGAGCCTGCATGTCTCTATCTCGTCAGGCACTCACTTCACCGTGTGGGCCGCGAAAAGTCCGGCCGATACCAGGGAGTGTCAAGTTTGGCAAGCCAGGGCCACAATTTAGGACCACCTAGCTTGGTAGCCGTGCACGTGCATGCCGTCGAGATGTGAAGGAGATAACCTTCTACTTGCTGTAGCATTGCAAAAAGGTCAAAGCTTCATGGCCGCGGTGTGTTCGCAGATGCTGCCTTCAAGCGTGGGGAGATTGTTGAGTTCCATGCTGAGTCACTTCATGTCCATTGATTTGGCTGTGTTTGTACATAACCTTTGAGGATGTGTCCTTGCCTGATCATTGACACGAATGGGGCAGACTGCATGCAGGAGCGATCCCGGGTAAACTTTTCGGACAGTTTCAGATGCCTTCGCAGGATCACTGTTTCCAGCTCCCTGAAGTGAAGATTGATGTGGAGGGTTGGAAGCCCGGATCGGAGATGGCACTGTTGTGTGCAGCGTTGTCTCTGCGCATACAGACACTGTTCACATGTCTTTGAGCATTTGCCTGGCTGCAAGCCTTTCCTTGGACTGGCCAGATGGCCATCAGACCCAGATGTCCTACGATCTGATAAACTAGCCCCTAAAGCAATGGTTAGGCCCGGTTAGGCTGCCCGACCCACCTCTAGCTATCGCTTACGAGTTGCGTTCAGCTGTTGCGCCTGTACCGGTTCTGGTTCGGTGCATAAAGCCGGGCCCGTCAATTTATGCGAGCTGATGTCCGACACACTGTCAGATGTGCCTGGGTATTCCGGTCAGGTGGCAGCGTGCTGAAACGCCAGTCTCGCTACGTCCTTCCTTGTGGCCATGTTCCCTGAATGCAGCACCAAATAATGTGTGCCTTGAAAAAAACATCTCAGGATATGGTGGCATGTACAATCATTTGGAGCGTGGTCAAGGCGGAGTTCAGTTTATCGTGTCACCTCGATTTAGCTGTTCGAATCTCCATGCCAGGGGAAAATGTGCAATGGTTCTACGCCGGGACCTTGGGCAGATCTCCGCAACTGCCCAAAAGGTAGAAAATCCAATCTGCCACTCAAGGACGAGACCACGCAATGTTGTGTTTGGGTGGCGCATCCACAGGACAGCATTGTTCCGCAAAGTATGAGGCTGCTCGCCACACATTCCTGCTTGCCAACAGAAAGAGTAGATAAGTTTCCATAGAAATTGCAATAGCTTTCCAAAGTTTTGTTCTCCGGGCAAGTCGAGGCAACAACGAAGCATACGAGCTGAAACCTGTTTGTAAATCAATGTCTGTTACAGTTGCTTGGAATTTCAAGTGGCCATGATTGTTCTGCCTGCCAGCAGAAAAGATGGGGCAAGCCTTTGTGCATGCAGGCAATTTTCATTGCGCAAGGATTCGGCTGTGAATTTGTGTGGGTCAGCAGGAGGGCCAGGATGAATTGCAGCGAAACGAGGAGCTGTGTTTCGATTATGGCGAGGCGACAGCTGGGCAGACGTATGAGCATCTTGAGCATGGAGTTTTTGCGCACGTTCAAGTTGGCAGGCGTACTGGGATGCCCCGCACCGGCGCTTCCAACGGCCTGCTGCCCGATGCTCAAATTCCAGAATCGAACAGCTAGATATTTCTGTGGCCACTGAATGTCCTGACGGTTGCAGGCACGCATCACGGCTGAAGCCGGAGGCTAAAAATTAATTGCTCAAATTGGGATCAAATGATATTTAATAGTAATAAGGATATGAATTTTCGAGCCTGAAAAGTACGGTAAGATTTGATTTCAGACCATAAATTCTAAAAGGTTTTGAATCTCATCTCCGTCCTGGGTTTACGCGTTCCTCCGAACACGCCGACAACCAAAGAGAGATAAATGACGCGAAAAACCGCTTCAGAGGCAAGGGCCGCGCGACGAGATTTTGAATCGTGCCCCCCGCACCAAAAATCTCGGAAGTTTTAGAGCCTCTAGCTTTTCCGAAGGGCTCTAAAATCTCCGTTTGAGATCTTAGAGCCCCTAGAGAGCCCGCGAGAGGCATTTTAAAATTGAGCCGGAAAAAAACGAAATGACCGCAAATGGCCACGCCGTAAAATTGAAAGGTATTATTTATATGAAAATAAAAGTCTTGAAAGAAATGAATTTAGATATAAATAAGACCTATCATAAAATATGATCTATATATCAAGAGAAAAATGATATCATGATATAAATGATGATCTCTTCTAAAAAGGAGGATATTCAATAAATTTCTATTCACGGAGATTTATGTGGTCTCTCGAATCGCTGCCCAGAAAATACTGCAGAAAACACAGGAGATAAATGAGGCGAAAATTTCATTTTCTTCGGTAATTTGCGCGGCAATACGGGGGAACCCGTAGAGATCTAAATCCTTTCAAGATTTATATACTATATACGGGCTTAAAATATTTTTTTTCCTATATTATCGTGATTTTTAATATTCGGATTTGATGAATTATTGATTTCTTTATCGATTAATATTTTTCATTGAATATTATAGGTTCCTAATTATAGAATCTATTGGAAATGAGCATTCATGAAATTAGATATATTCTATTATATTCATAGAGAGATATATTAAATATTCGATTATTATTTTTTTAATCTTATTGGATATGAATTAATTTTCATATTCTCATTTCTATAGATTCGTATTCATTTATTATTTCTTTTTGATTCGTATTTATCTAGAATTCTATTTCTATCTATATTTTTTTTTCATTTTCTCTCTATTTATTTCATTCATCTTTTCTTTTTCTCTATTCTATTTCATTCATTTATATTTAGATATTTCATATCTATTTTGATTTATTCTATTATTCGATTCTCTTAATGATTTATTTATTCAAAAATTTGAATATGAATTCAATTTTTATTTTATATATTTATTTCTTTATTGAGATTTATTTTCTGAAAAAGATTTCGATATTGATATCGTAATTATTGATTTTCTCAATAGAAAAGAATATTCGAAATATTTCTTTTTTCTTTAATTAAATAAATATGAATATATTTCAATATTAAGGCGCGGTTATTTATAGCTGTTTATCGGTTTATCGCGCGCGCTTCTTAGCTTTTCTACTTCATTTTTAAATTGCTTCTTGTGGGCTTGTTAACAGCTTTGAAACATCGGGAATTTTAGGACTTGGGGCAAAAACTAGCGACCCTAGAATCTTCGAGATTTTTGGTCGGGAG